ATAAACACTTAATTATTAAATTAATAATCGAAACTTATGTCATTATTAGATTGAAGTATGAAGCAAAATTGCAAAATATCTCTAAGGAGAGCTTATGACATTTTTACAATCAATTAGTTATTTTTGGTGGAAAATAAAAATCAAAAACTTTTTGTTTGTACTTTTATTTTTATGCCATCAAACATAAAAATATTCATTTTATGATACAGACACAGCGTTCTGTATCGATAATTGAAGTTGATACATGGCGCAGCACTATTCTTGTCCTGTAATTTAGCCAGGGTGATCGAACTTTGTTTAAAAGCTGAGAAATCTGCACACAATCAAGATTTTGTCAATATTTGTGTTGGGCTTGTAAAAATAAAGCGAGAAAAAAATATCGCTGCTTCTTTCCTTCGCGTTGCTTCAGATTGCCATTTTAAAAATTAGATAAAAATATACATGATTATTGTATCGGAAGAAACTGAAAATGTTAATTCTGTGCTATATTTATTTTTTGTTTGCACTTTACAGTTATTATATACATATTACTTTGAGGTTTGCACAATTAATTGACCTACACTATTAATTAATTAAAATAAAGTTATTAAATTTTAGCAGATATTTATCAAGAGAAGCCATGAATTAAAAGAAGAAAAAAAATGACATTTATTTGTCAACGTCTTTCATATTGAAAATATTTTCTGAAATTGATTAAAATTTATTTAATAGGATTAGATTTTAATATTTGTTATTGCTTTTTGCTGCAATTCAGTTATTATCGGTTCAGAATACTTCATTTTCGTTTGTAGGCGTTTCTTCGCGATTGTGTCTGTAAATATTTTTTGTGAGATGTTCACTGTATGAGATATTAAATTGACTATAAATTGATAAGACTATAAATTGATTTATTATTTAAAATTTTTATGCAAGATGTGTGATGAGAATCGAAAGTAAATCATGCGTTGTGCAATTAAAAAGCACAAGATCAGATGTCAGATGGTCGCTTTCTGCAGGTTTCCTACAATAGAAAAACTTTTAACAATATTGTAGTAAGTCTTTAAGTATTTTAAATGTATTGATCGTTATTTGTAGGGATTATTACTATATTAACTCGAATTTTATCTGTTTCAGATTATGTATTTGGGCTGAGTTAAGTTTTTACCATGAGAATTTTGCTGATTTAAATTTACATTAATGTTCTGTGAGGCATAACTCTCTGACAATAACATGTGTTATACATCAGTAACCAGCGTGGAAATATTATGTGCGAAAGCAATAAAAAACATCAATAATAATGTGTAGTTTATAAAACAATCTGTCTTCCAGAAAATAAAATTACACAACTATACTTATTTATAGTTTTATTTTATCCCACATACTAATAGTGTAAGTATATTCGGGTAATTTTGGTGCAACCTCTCAAAAATATGCGAATTTACCCCATAGGTTTGTGAGGCTTGAGCCAAAATTACTCGAATAAGCCTTAAATAAAAAATTTATAGTTACAGAATACAAAGGTTTGAAATTTCCGCCATTGAGATATAATGTACTACGTACTAGAGAAGCTATTCCGAACAAAAACTGTGCACTACTCTATGTCTTCGCGCATGCGCGGTAAATAGTACAGTCGCGCATGCGCGGTTTTTTTCATCATAGATTATATACGTAGGTAGAATGATCAGTATGTAATAAGTAAATGTTTATTTAGATTGTATTGTAAATTGTATCGAGTACAATTTTTTGAATTGTTATTTATATTGCATAAAGTGTTAATATAATGTAAACATAATATTATGTCAGAATTACATTTTAATTATATTTTATTTAATACTTTAAAAGGTAAATATGTAGAATATAAAAATATGCATTTATTTTCAAAGATAATTATTATTACTTTTCTAGCATTCTCTAACGTATTTATACCCAGCTAGTGAATAATAGTGTAAAATCAATGCGAATTCACGTAAAGGTGCATGGAGTGTATAAATTAATTATTATTATTAATGCGTGCTCTGTTTATTCTTTTTCGTTAAAGATTTATGTTACTCCATAACTTCTGCTTCACCCATTAAATCAATCTCAGCATTTAAGTTGAGACCGAATTTATGATTCAAATTTTCTACAATTGATTTGTAAGAAGCACATTTTTTTTTTAGATAAATATTTTGTCTTAAATTTCTCAGTAAGTTTCTTTCTAGCTGCAGATTCCTTGCTATTAAATACAAACACAATATTACAATGTGCTTATATTTTATTCTTTTTATAATAACCTAGAATTATTGATTCCGTTATTAAGGTAGAACTATATTTAAAAGCTTAGGCTTCGTATACATCACTCAAACTTAGCTTAGGAGATATCACTTGCGTAATTTATTTTTAAGTACAATTTTGCTCGGACTATCTAAAATTGAATTTGTACTGCTTATTGATTCAGACAACGGTTCTGATACTTCCTGTTCACCACATTTTGTTGACTGAAAAAAGATACTAGTTATTTGGGAAGCCTGCAAAAATTCTAGTGTTACAGTATTAAAAAACCGTCATATACTAGAATCACCCGCGCGCCGAGGTTTCCGCCTCTCTTAAGTTCCGTAAATATACTGAACATTACAAAACATTCGTTCGTCGTCTAATCAAAAAATAAAACAAAAATCCCAGCAATGTTATATAATTATATAATTACATTGTCGCATGGTACTGCTTATTTCTTGAAGTACACTCTTCCTGTTTTTGCGGTGTATTTGTCTTTTTTTTTGAACTGCACGGAAAATATGCGTAAATAATTTGACGTTTCTTCATTTTTTTTATAGGATAAGGGTGACAAATGAGCACATAGTCCACCTGATGGTAAGTGGTTGCTGTGCCCCATAGACATCTACATCTATCTTCGATTAAGAATCAAAATGCAGTTGCGTTGTCACCCGTGAGGACTAAGATGGAATGCCTCGTTTCCATTAAAAAGGGTCTCCGGTTCTCTACACTCACCAAACGAAATACAGCTATTTCACGCTGGCATTCTGTGAGAGCGCGGTCCTTCCCCGGTCGAGCCGACTCATTCGTGCTACAACCATAATATAGCTGCAGCATGGCTCTAATCTCTAATTCTTCTGAACAAATTTGATCCATGATTATTTTGTTTCATGACACAGCCGAGGAAACCATTAAATAAAAATAATAATAAAAAATAATAATTTTAATGCATTAACATTTCCTACAGTGATTATATATAAATATTTTACTGTTCATAATTACTTAACATTATACGACGATATTGTCAAGTCTGCGCATAAAAATGTTTTTTTACTCTTTGACATTCACGTATACGTTGCAATTGATAAAATATAATTAAATTAAACGTGTTTTAAAGATAATAATAAGTTTAAATTACTGGTGAAAATTCACTCCTTGACTTTTCCTTATATTTCTCGAGTAGTTTGAACAGTATCTCAATGTACACGAAGGCATATTAATTTAAAAATAATTCTTCACTCTAACTTCTCACGTTGCAACAACCGCTTGACACAGACTAAGTGAGTTTGAGAGCGCGCACTCTAACGCGTGTTACAAACAATCGAGTTGAGGCGCCTTCTCTAGTACGTAGTACATTATATCTCAATGATTTCCGCTAAAAAAGTTTTATATGGGCGTCCACCGTAGCGCTTTTCGTGTACACTCGTAAACACGTGTTTCCGTTTTTTAGTATGAAGTTGGCGTTCTGCTCTTGGTAGAGAGTAATTGTGTTCTGTGAGCTGTACTAACATAATGGATCGTGAATAAAGCTAATAAAATGCTGTGGAAAGATGATTTTTTTTTATCGGAATCGATTTTTTTCTGACCCATAGTCTGTCTTCGTTTTCGGGATCGTTTCACAAACACCCGGTATGGACGGCCCGGTGATCAAGTTTATATCCTTATCCTGATTACTTTTAACTATTTATTGTGTACCAATTGAATGTTTTGTAACCTAAAGTCGTTACCAATAAATATTCACTTTTTATATATTATTATTTTTCTTACTTACTATTTCTCTAAGATTCCTTTAAGGATGAAGAATAGTGTGTGCTGGCCCGGGGAGTGTATTAAGTGATGGTAGTGACAGGGACTCTGACGTGGATGAAGATTAATTATTGTAACCTATTTAAAAATTTGTATTCATTTATTTTTTTAAATTAGTTATGTATGTAGTTATACCAATAATAAATATAGTTTTTGCATAGTTTTTTTATTTAACATTCTTTACTTTTTCATAACATACACATCGACATGTCATTGGAGTATCATTATGCCTGCCGTTAGGTCCATACGTGCGAAAGAAAGGGCAACAGGCTGTGTCCTGTTTCCCCATTTTATTGCATCGTGGGCGAAACGAATACTCTTCCACTTCCACTGTCACATAATGCAATGCGACTTGCATTCAGATTCGTATCCTTCTTCTCTCTGCGGTTCCTGTATATAATTGCGGACATGAAGTTAATTTGTAAGGATAAAGTTTTCCGAAGGAAAGTGATCGACGGCTCCGTGGTGCAGTGGCTTAGCAACGAGTTACAGCGCTAAGGGCCGCAGGTTTGAATTCCGCACAGAACAAGTATTTGTATGGCCTACAGATAATTGTTCTCTGTCTGGATGTTAGTCCTTGTGAAATCTATGTATGTAAACTGCCCACGCGAAACAGGAGATAATCCTAGTGTGTAGGTAACGCTTTTAAAAAAAACGAAAATAGAAATGATTGATATTACTGTCCTTAAAATCTAAGAACTTCGCAATGTGATGTATCATCATATTGTGAACAGTTTTGTATACAAAATACAAATCAGACTAGGATGTATGGTAATGGTACATAGATATAAGTAATGGTACAACAATCAAAATGTCAATATGATTATTATAGATCATACGTTTTACGTTTGACGTTTTCGTTGAGTTAGTGTATGTGATAAAAATAATACAATACTTCGGAACTTCCTGTCTGGATTGTGGACTAATAAAGAGAAATTGTGAAATAAATACACGTTTCAAAAATGCCTTCAAAGCAAAGAAAAATTGCCATGATGGGTTATCGATCAGTTGGTAAAGTAACGGGTTATTTTTATCTATTTGCGTATAATTTATAAGTGACGTTTTAAGTATATTGTAAATTGTATTTACAGGTAAATCGTCTTTAATTATTCAGTTCGTAGAGGGACAGTTCGTTGACTCATATGATCCAACAATTGAAAACAGTATGTACTTTTTATACTTCAATACAAAATAATTTTCATAATGTCATAATAAAAATCTTAATGTTTTTGTTTATCTTTTTATTCTAGCGTTCACGAAGTTCATTCGGCTGAACTCAACAGAGTATGAAGTGAAATTAGTAGACACAGCTGGCCAAGATGAATATAGTATTTTCCCTTTGCAATACAGCATGGACTTCCATGGTTATGTTTTAGTCTATTCTATCACTTCCAGCAAGAGTTTCCAAATTGTTCAAATAATATATGATAAACTTCTTGATATGATCGGAAAAATACAGTTAGTATACCAATGCAAATATTTTTTTCAATTATATTATAAATGTGTTTACAACTTAAGTTAAATTTCTACATTCTATTTATTTCTTACATTTCATTTTTGGGCTATTGATTTAGGGACATAAAATATATTTATCAATTTCATTCTTTTATCTTTTATCACAGAAACCTCATCTTGAAGTGTTCAAAATTTTGTTTCATAATATGTCCAAAATAGTTTTAGCATGTTGGCTGTCATCGTGCACAATAGTGACCGCCAGTAAAGCCCCTTTCATACATCTAAATTTGTAAGAAGTTTGGAGGCCCAATAATTATTTATGATTACAGATTTTTAATGGATTTACTATACAGTTTATTTAAATGCTGATCTAAGGTACCTTGGGTAGAAGTAAAGTAAAATTTTCAAAGTTACTTTAAGAGCATTAAATTTTAAAAAGGCAAGCTACATATTAAAATAGAACATAAGAGTGCAAATCATAGTACAATTTTATTAAATATATCGGTATTCTATTATTTGAGTAGAACTTTTCTGATTTGTTAGTATAACGGTTAAAATTTCCAATATGGACCGTCGATTTAAATGCTCATATTTTTTTGTAGATGGTACTCACTAAAAGAAAGCGTTTTGCAAAGTTTCAATATGTGGAAACGTTTACTTTTTGAGAATAAAATTATTGAAAATCAATTATTTTTGCAAATTTATGTCAATTCCTGTGGAAAACCTGACACTATATTGTATTGACATTGTCATCGTCAGTAGGGATGTCGATTCTTTCTGAAAAAGATCGATTTTATAAATCGATTCAAATCGTAAGCTGATGTATATTGATTCACAAAAAAATTGATTTCTAAAATTTTGATATTTTTTCATGCTTGCATTTATAATGGAAATATAAATCCATTTTATGAAAAACCAGAAAGATACCATAGTAAATAATCTCTTACTGAAATTTGTTTTATTTTAATTTATTTATTTTAATTAGGGCAGATAACAAATAAAATAGGTTAGGTTCAACTTATGTCAAAGATAAATATGGGCATTTAAATCGATGGTATATATATATATATATATATATATATATAGATAGCAACATTGAATATGAGTATACTTATAAGAACAGATGAGAAATTATTCAAACTAAAGGAATATTCTTGGACTATGCAAATTAAAAAGAAGCGGAAAAAACTATATTATTGATATAATAATAGTAAAAATTATGATAATAATGTTATAAATTCTACTTTAATGGGGAAAAAGCAGGATGATATTGAGTGGGTTTAATAGTCAAAACATATCTCAAAGACAAAATTCAGCAATTTATTGGAAAATCTGGCAGAATGGCACTTTTAAATACCACACTACCTAAACACAAACTGAACATTATTAGCAGTAACCATACTACTGAACTCATGGTCCATTATTCAAGTATACACTCCTATAGAGCAAGAATATCAAGAAGAAAAGGACTTAATTAATACATACCTAAATAATATAATACAAGAAACACATAACAATAAAATAATCTTGGGGCAATTCAATGGCCAGATTGATAAATTATTTCAAATTTAACAAAGTGTGTTTGGGTGTTATACTAATAGAAACAAAGGCTCCAATGAACATAGACCATTAGAATTTCCTCTAGAACAAAATATAAATATAACGAAGTTTCTATAAAAAGTTTGCTGAAAATGGATGTGGATCTCTGATGAGTGAGATCTGCAAATAAAAAAACGAAATAGTCTTTCCAACGTACCTAAAGCTTTAAAGTAGCAGTTGAAAATAAACTAAACTTTATTATAAACCATTGTCAACTACTTAGAAAAGCCCTGTCAGAAATGCCAAATAAAAAAGAAATAAGCATATCACATATACATGATATGCTGCTTAAACTAAAAATATTTAGAAAATATAAAATAATTCATGGTACTAAGAAAAGTGCAACAAGCTTGAAACATCCATTAGAAAATTAAGTAACACAATGAGTGAAGATCTGAACAAAAAATAAAATCGAATCATAAATTAGCAATGTTAAATATTGAAACCGAGCTTTCTGGGGAAAAATTGAAGTTTGTCTGCCAAGAGTTTCTAATTTTCTCTTGTAACATGGCAAGACAATTTCTTTACCATGAATTTTCTATTACCTTCTTTGTTGAGAGCTGATGTTTTAGTTGTGGCAGTCATGGTGCTTTAACTAGTTCAGACTGGTTTCCTTTGTTTGAAGATATTAGATGCTTGTCAGATGTCTGTCTGTAAACTGCATATTGGAGGTTTCTTAAAGTTGTTTGTTCGTACAAAACCAGCACGTTTACAATGTTCATACTGAGAATACTACCTAATGGGAGTTGAATATGCAGACATCTGGTCCAGCAAAACCACTGCTGATTTTGTTTGTGAAAAACATTGCTTGTGATTCGCGAAAGAAGGTTTTTAGTTGTCCGACAGTGATCCGGCGTGGCTAAAAATGATTCCATTCACACCATGTCGGTCTCATGTATCCGCCATTAGTAAATAACCTCAATAAAATCAAGCTAACGCTATTTATATAAGACCGTATGCTTATATTTTGCATAACCCCATTATTAACAAGCAAAAAACTTAAAATTTAAACTTTTATGTTGTACTTATATTATTAAAGTACCCAAATAGAGTGCAGATAGTTTTGTAATCTGAATTTTCTTTGATGTTTCTTTATGACTATAAGTATAACTTCGCCTCCAGGTCCTTCAAAAGAGTTATTGACAAGGCAAATTCAGAGCACATAGGCAGAATTGGCTAGAAACTAGTTCGCCTTCCTTCGGGAACCCGTGCATTCTGGTCTCTCGCCAAGGCTGTCCAAGGGAATTTCTGTAAGCCATCACTACCATCTCTGCACAGGGAGGACGACTCACTAGCCCAAGCCGCAAAAGACAAAGCCGACCTTATAGGCTCCCTTTTTGCGTCCAACTTGACTCTTGATGACGGGAGGGAAACACCGCCGACCATCCCGCGGTGTGAGTGCTCCATGCCGGATGTGCTGTTCTCACAGCGCTCGGTTCGCAAAGCACTCCTCTCCCTGGACATCCAGAAGTCGAGTGGACCTGACGGAATCCCCCGAATTGTGCTGAGTACGTGTGCTCCGGAATTGGCACCTAACGCGTCTTTTCCGTTACTCCTACTCCCTAGGCGTAGTCCCGAAATCATGGAAAACAGGTTTTGTCCACCCGATCCCTAAAAAACGCGACCGCTCAGACCCGTTCAACTACAGGCCTATCGCCATCACCTCCTTATTCTTCAAAATAATGGAATCCATTATTAACTGCCAGCTCATGCGGTAGTGATCGCCAGTACGGTTTTCGTCGGGGTCGATCAGCTGGTGATCTTCTGGTCTACCTGACTCATAGATAGGCGGAGGCAGTAGAGTCCAAGGGGGAGGCGTTGGCCGTTAGTTTGGACAATGCGAAGGCCTTTGATCGGGTTTGGCACAAAGCGCTTCTTTCGAAGCTCCCTTCCTATAGTCTTCCCGTGAAATTGTGCAATTGGATCACCAGCTTCCTTGCAGATCGGAGCATCAAGGTTGTTGTAGACGGTGCATGCTCCGACTACAAGCCTATTAACGGTGGTGTTCCACAAGGCTGTGTGCTATCACCAACGCTTTTTCTTTTGCATATCAATGATATGTTGCTAACTGGTAACATTCATTGCTATGCGGATGACAGCACTGGTGATGCTCTATACACCGACCGTGCCAATATTTCTCGGGAAAACTTCGCCGAGTACCGGAACAAACTTGTGTCTGAAGTCGAGTCTTTGCTGAACAAAGTCTCGGATTGAGGGCGATTAAATCTAGTCCAGTTTAATCCTCAGAAGACACAAATTTGTGCGTTTACCGCTAAAAACAACCCCTTTGTCGTATCTCCTCAGTTTCAAGGCACTCCCCTTCTTGCCTCGGCCAGTATCGGAATCCTCGGAGTTGACATATCGAGTGACGTGCAGTTTCGTGGTCACTTGGAAGAGAAGGCCAAATTGGCCTCTAAAAAGCTTGGCGTGCTCAGCAGAGCGGGACAGTATTTCATGCGGGCACACCGCCTGCAACTTTACAAGGCGCAGGTTCGGCCTCACATGGAATACTGTTCCCATCTCTGGGCAGGGGCTCCCCAGTGCCAGCTCCTTCCACTTGACCGCATTCAGCGCAGAGCGGCTCGAATCGTTGACGACCGAGTCCTTTCCGATCGGCTCGATTAATTAGCACTGCGAAGAGATGTTGCATCCCTTTTGCATTTTCTTTCGCATTTACCACGGGGAGTGCTCTGAGAAATTGTTCGGATTACTCACAGCCGCCAAATTTCACGAACGAACATCGCGGCAGAACTCCCGATACCATCCACACCATCTGGATGATTGGCAGTCCACCACTGTGCGATTTAGAAGATGTTTTCTTCTTCGCACGACTTCCTTGTGGAATCGATTACCATCAGCGATTTTTCCGGACCGATACGACTTAGAGACCTTCAAGAAAAGAGCCTACTCCTTTTTAAAAGGCCGGCAACGCATCTGCAATTTCCCTGGTTCCCCTGGTGTAGCAGTTGTTCATGGGCGGCAGTAGTCACTTACCATCAGGTGAGCCGCATGCTCGTTTGCCCCCTCTCCTATAAAAAAAAATTACTACTTATAAAAGTGTTATCTTGATAAGAAATTATTGAATAATTACTGTGAAAAATAATATTTTCTTATTTCTGAAAGTCTTGTTAATTTATTTTTTAATTGTTTTTAGTGTACCCATTGTTTTAGTAGGCAATAAAACAGATCTTCATTTAGAAAGGAAAATAAGCACAGAAGAAGGAAAAAGACTGGCCGAAAAATGGAAAGCAGCCTTCGTTGAAACTAGTGCAAAAAGAAATGAGGTAATATTTTAAAACTTTTGCAAATAATTTTATTATCTATGTATATTTTAAATTTAATGTGTAATCCTTTTTAATATTTTCAGTCCGTGACAGATATGTTCCATGCAATTTTGTCAGAAATAGAGAGATCTGATGGGCATATACAAGAAAAGAATGGATGTGTTATATCTTAATAAATTATTATGTTAATGAACAATGCTTCTACTTAAGTAAAAGTGAATTAAACATAATGTATGTGCATGGCTATTGTGGTTGCTGTAAGGGAAACATATTTAAAGTAATCTTACTGGTACCTTAAAATGAGGATACTCTCATAGCACTAATGTAGACTTTCAAAGTTATCAATAGGTTAAATTAAAATATTATTTGTGATACTAAAATAATATTGATAAATTTACTTTTGCCTATCTGTGTTCACCTCATAATGTTGTATTTATCAGTTTTAGTATTGTCATGTTTTGTGATAGTGCATGATTAATACATAAAATACATAAATACAAATACATAAATGTGAAATTAAGAAGGCAAGCTTTATGTTGTATATAATTTATTTAAAGGTACCATGAGGCTTTGTGTGCAATTTTGGAAAATTGTTGTATAAAGTTGTGCAGTATAATAATTGGACTACAAGTGATAGTAAACTGCATAACTTTACATAATTAAATCCAAAAAGCTTAAAGGGTTCGTATTTAGCTTAAGAATGCCTTACAAAGGCTCTTACCTCAGTGGATATTCCACTATTGCATATAGTATATTGAACAATGTATATGTGTAAAATTTGAAAATATTTTAGATCGTACAAAATTTCGTGCATTAGTTATGATTTAATCATAGATATAAAAGCAGCAGTGCTTAGTCATATTATAATTTAAATGTATTTGAAAGGATACATGGGGACGAGAAAAGCTGTCTTTAAATATTGAGCAATATCCTTTTGTAGTTTTATGGTACATATAGATCCGCAAGCTAAGTAGCTAACAATATATTGTCTTTCATATATCTATATCATACCTGTTTGCTAACTCTAAGAGCTGCTCAGGCTAAATTAAAATCAAAACCACACAGTGCATGGTTGCAGCACTCTAGACCTATTAGATTAAACTTAGTTTTAGACATTCAAACGCGCTGTAGAAAAAAGCACAAGATCTGGCACTAGAAGTTGTTTGTTTATCTTTTCGTGTAGCATCGCGTCACCTGCACGGCTGGAATGTCGTACCGGCACTGCTCAGGGCACCAACGCGCCGCAACCGCAAAATATTGCGTGGCTTTAACATAGATTATTAAGTTAATATAACATAATGATTTCTTATATTTACGCCAACACTACACGTTTAAATAAAACTAGTTTTTACGGATTTTATCGCGTATAGGGGGGGGGGGGGGGGGGGGGATGTGGTGTTTAATTGAGTGGTGGTTGATATACGAAATAAAATCCGTAAAAAAACTAGTTCTATCATAACATATTCTTAATGAATGTACAAAACTTAAGTTTCAATCTTTTCTCATGTTAGTTTATTACATAAATCATTTAGTTTGCTTCTTAATAATTTATTCAAAATTACAATCTAGATATATTACTGGACAAATTCATTCGCCTAATAAAACCAAAATTCCGTGAAATGTGTCATTTTTAAGTGGGTATTTTGCCATATATATGTTATTTGCTAAATAATTGTATTTAGTTAGGAGAGTATGTTGGTTTATTATAATTATTTTAGCACATAAACTTTTAAAGAAAAGGGTTGTAAAAATGTAATTGTAGTGTTGTCTATGTGTCTATTCCCCCATACGAAGTCCCAATGGACAGATGTCATATTATGAAAACTATTGAAGGACTTATTTGTGTTTAAACATAGTAATTTATATACTCTTCGGCTGTATTGTTATGTTGCAAATTTAATTTGTATCATAGAAGTCAAATAATATGTTAATTTCTATAAATACTGTACAAATTCTGTTATTTTTTTATAGGACTAAGTGCTATTGTATCACTGTGTCACTGTTTATGGCCCATAGATTTCTACATCAATTATGTATTAAATATGTACAAAATGCACATGTGTTGTCACTCCTGAGTACTATGTTCGAATGCCTCATTACCAGTATAAAGGATCTTTCAACTCACCATATGAGACACAGCAATATTATCCTGCTTCACACTTGATTCTGTGAGAGTGTGATCTATCAAAGTCTACTCTAGTAAAAAGAAACATAGATTGCTCCATAAGGGGTATATATAATTGCCATAGTTGCCAAGCGCACTTTCTGGTTTTCCTCTGTTCCCTCCTACGACACTCACGGGATGATATGGGGTAGTGGATATTCTTACATCGCCACTATACATCCAAAATATTTCATATAAATATTTTTCATAATTTTATTTCATTTTCAGTAATGAAACCTTGCCTTAAAATTTTAAAACATAACTGTGTCTATATAAATTCTATTGCTTAATACCAACAATGGTAGTTTTTATAACATCATAATGTCCAGCGTCTTTCAGCATTTAATTTAATGCTGACATTAGTTTGTTTTGCTGGTTTGTAAATGGCGACTAAATGCAGACATTCCAATTATAACATTTTTACATCTGCATCTGTATTTTTATTATTATTGTGTCATTTCACGAATTTCATTTTCGTTCACGAATTATAGACGGAGATTTTTGGTAGGTATAAAGTAAATAATATTGTGCATCTATAATAATAGTTCATCTCCTAAACTGTAGAACTGTAGAAAGGCAGAAAGGCATTTTTAAATCTGTGCTTCATACCAGTGGGTTCTCAAGCTGTTCGTTCTGCTCTTTGCCTACTGTTCGGTTAATGGGTATGTCAAAAAACATAGGTATCGATAAGATGGGAAATGTTACAATCAATCTGCGATCTATCTTTTTGCAAGCTTATTAAAAGTGCTTAACAGTTTTGTCGGACATATGTCGAGTTTGACGCCATCCTGTTGAGCCACTTAAGCATGTCATCTCTTTTTGTTCGGCGCTTTCTATCTCAGTATTTTCACAGAGAGAATCTAGTTGCCAGAATCCTAAACCATGAGCTCGTTCTGAAGTACGATCTTGTGGATTAGAAACTGCCTTATTATAAGTACTCGCCGGTAGCTGTGCTCGCAAATGACCGCACAAGCACTATTAGGATCGGGTCATCATCACAGACAGGACTATTCTAGCTACCCTCTAAAAACCCTCTCCATAGATTGCCCCATAAGGGGAATATTTGCCATAGTTGCCATGATTAGCAGACGGATTGGCAAGTGCACTTCTGGTTTCCCTTTGTTTCCTGTTTCCGACGCCTCGGCAGTCTTGAAAGTACGGACCTGTCCATCCTATGGTTGAGCGTAGACAGCGACGACCATCCCGCGTCTACGGGTGCCTCTATAGGTTCCATAGTGGTAATGCCGAAACAGACCGACTCATCGACCACGTCCAAATGGCTGCAGACTCCGTGTTACAACAGGTCCCATCCGTAGAGATTGTGATCCTTGGTTATTTTAACGCCCACTACGCTGAATGGTTTGGTCCCCGTTCAACCCAACATGCGGGTAGATCTGTTTATGACTTTGCCTTGTTATATGATCTGACACAATTGGTTACTTCGCCTACACGGATCTCAGATGTGGAGGATCATGCACCTTATCTGTTGGATCTTCTGATGACGTCATCTTAACGGATATCAGGTCTCCGTCGACGCCACGCATGCGTAGTAGAGCCATGCTGCAGCTATATTAGTAGTATAGTTTTAGCACGAATGGGTCGGCACGACCGGGGACGGACCACGCTCTTACAGAATACCAGCTTAAAATGGCAGCTTGACACTGCTGTGTTTCGTATGGTGAGTGTAGAGAACCGGAGACCCATTTTATTGGAAAAGAGGCATTTTCACGGGTGACGATGCATCCAGTGGCGTAGTTACCCAGGGGCTTGGCGGGGCAGTGCCCCGGGGCTCCCAAGCTAAAGGGGCCCCTAGGCCCCCAATAATTATGTACTATTTGTATAAATAATTTTCAAGTTTCAACTTTTTGGCCCCTGACCGCGAACGGCTTGAACTGAAATCACAAAAATTGCTCCCACTTCCAGAACATAAATATAACATTGTAAAGGATAATTGTCTACTTGATTTTATTGCCTTTTTATATATAAAAGTGGGACAAACGAGCACGCGGCTCACCTGATGGCAAGTGTCGACCACCGCCTATTAGCAAATACAACACCAAGGGAATTGCAGGCGTGTTGCCTGCTTGTTATAAAGTAAGTAGTAGTAAGCTCGTTGCTAGAAGCTCACCAAGACCGCCAAACATACCGATGATGTGGATTTGTGAAACGCGTTGATGAAATTTTGTGGTTGAAATTAATCCGAACAATTCCTCTGAACCCTCCCCGTGGTAAATGCGACAGAAATGGGATGCAACATCTCTTCGTCTCGTCTTTCGTCTTCCTCGGTCGTCGACGATTCGAGCCGCTCTGCGCTGGACGCGGTCAAGTGGAAGGAGCTGGTACTATGGAGCCCCGGCCCAGGGATGATAACAGTATTCCATGTTAGACCGAACCTGCCCTTGTAAAGTTGCAAGCAGTGTGCCGGCATAAAATTCTGTCCTGCTCTGCTGAGCACGCCAAGCTTTTTAGAGGCCAATTCAGCCTTCCTTTCCCAGTGACCACGAAACTGCACGTTATTCTAAATGTCAACGCCGAAGATTCCGATACTGGTTGAGTTAACAACGGGAGTGCCCTGAAATTGAGAAGTTACGACAAAGGGGTTATTTTTAGTGGTAAACGCGCAAACTTGTGTTTTATGGGAATTGAACTTAATTAGATTTAGTCGCCCCAATCCAAGACCTTATCCAGCAAAAACTCGACTTCAGACATAAGTTTGTTCCGGTACTCGGCGACGTTTTCCCGAGAAATATAGGCACAGCCGGTGTATAAAGTATTACCAGTACACGTTACTAGTTTTCAACATATTATTGATGAGCAGAAGAAACAGATAGCACGTAGCCTTGTGGAACACCAGTATAAATAGGCTCGTAAATGGAGCATGCACCTTCTGCAAGAAAACTGCTGATCCAGTTGCACAGATTCTCGGGCAGCCCATACGAAGTCAGCGCTTCGTGGCAAACCCGATCGAAGGCCTTCGCTATGTTCAAACTAACGGCCAGGGTCCCTCGT